CAATTAGAGTGAATAATTCAGTTATCTTACAGTAGTGATTTAATTAACTTACAATAACTTGAATACATTGTATGTTAATAATAAATGTAAGTGCTTACAAAATCATGAAATATAATTACATTCATTACTGCATTACTAATAGTGCATTGTCTTATTGAATAGAATGACAAAGACTGGTCATTGTTGCTGTGGCATGTGGGTAATAATTATAGAGAAGTTAAAGCAATTCAGATATCTTGTATGGACACACTTATAAGGTGACCTTAAGCAATGTTTTGTAGTATTTATTATCAGCTGATTTTATGGTTACATGGAGATTATAAAAAAGCTGTGCAGCAATGCAGAATGGATCTTTGTTAGTTGAAGACTTGCTAGTACATATCCTGTGATAGTCCTGATGATAGTTATATATCTCTTTATTACTCACAAGATATTGATTGTAATTATTTCTCAATAGTAGTAATACTTTGTGAGAGTATAGTGCTACAACAGTCAGTAATTCACATTTGATGAAGAAATCTTTACAGGACTGTCTTGGATTTAGTTTGAAAATGTTTTTGGTACATTTCTTTTGTATGACCATTAATCCATCCATATTTTTTTGTGTTGTACCTATCCACAATACCATATTGAAGTTGTGGAAAGAATATGCCATAATAGATTGGAAGAATGGCATCTGTTTTCCAGATATCTGGAAAAATAACTCAAGAGAAAGTAATTTTAATACAAAGTATGTCGCCATTTTTGTTATATGTGAAGTTTTGATGTATGAATATTCCTAAAAACTTACAACAATCAGTTTGATTCATTGTTTATTTGGACTTTAATGTTTTGGTGTTGGTGATTGTAATGAAATTGATTAATACATCAATCAACGTTACATTTCAATTCATTTATTGACAAAAATTTCAGTTGATTTTAAAGATTCAATCAGATTAGTTTCTAGATGACAAAGATTTGCCCATTGCATATAAATGTGATAAACTGCTCATGTTTGTAGTGGTGTCTATACAAAAGTTTTGAACATGCTTTCACCTGAGAGTAATCCTCTGAACTTCACTGAATTAATGGGAGGTATTAAAAAAATGATATGAAGTTATTGCATAGTGTGTTTGAATGAATACTGTAGTGAATGATATAAAGCACAATTCAGGGTGTATTATTACCCTAAAGAAGGTTTTGTAACTAAACTAGGCATTGGCAAAAAACCAAGCAATGACAAGCTTCATGCATCACACTAGAGGAATGGAACTGAGAGAAAAATGGCGTTTGCCGAAGAATTAAAAACATTTACTGGAGGCAAAAATTTCTTTGTTCAAAAGTACACTATAAGCTTGTTTATTTTGGTGCATACATTGTTTTAAGCTACAATTTTTTTTACAATGATTCTGAATCAAAGAGCAGCAGAGTTAGTGTTGGAATATTTAAAACAATATTTAACATAATAAATAGGTTTAAAACTAAAGGTACTAATAAAAATATAAATATTTAAAAAGAAAAAACTCAAGTAAACAAACACAGAATGAAATTGTATAAATAATTCAAAAATCCAAATTGATAGAAGTTTATTAGCAATTCAAAATGACATTGAATACCAACACAGATAATATTAAAGTAAAACACTGAATTAGGAAGAAATTAAATATTTCTTTGGACCAATTTTTTCTTCTTCTGCAGTTCAAATTTTACTTTTTTCATCTACTTTCCAATACATTTTGATGAAAAATTTCCCAACCATTTGTACCATAGGTGTGATTATTAATTTTTTTTTGTTTTAGTTTTGTATGTAAGCCTCTTGCACATTCTACATTAATATATATTAATATATTATCTTATTGAAGACTGGTTGAGCATATTTTCATGGGGAATACTTTTTGCTTAAGTAGCAAATTCAGAAATTAAGTACAATGTTGATGAAGAATTTTAAAGTTATAAATTGTCTAACATAATGTAATTTGAGTAATAATACCTAATTTTCACGGAGAGATGTTGTACATTCATGAAAAAAACATTGTCATTATTAGGGAAAGGATTTTGAGGTGCAAATTATGGTCATAAAGGGGGGGGGGCTTCTGATAATACAGACAAAAAGGTGCTGCTGAAACAACTGTATTAAGGTTTAAATCAGTTACAAGAACTTAGTTTCTAGAATATACTCAATCATTTCGCATCAAATTTGTATTCTTTATCGAGTCCTTAAGAGATTCATAGTACTTTCTGAAACACTGTAGTAGATAGAAAACTTTTAAACAATTGTCAGGACTGACTGAACTTACTTTACTGGCTTATTGCATGGTAGAACATACTTTGCAGTCATGTCAAGCTGCGCCCACATTAGCACTTGCCCACTTGGGAACCTCAGTGCAATTTCTCTCGACTCCCCTGCCCTTTCTCCTCCAAATCCACAGGAGCTGCCAGGGCTCTTTTAGTATTGATGGCGACATGATGTCATGGGTCAGCATTTTCTTCAGGTCACACACAAGTGGATTTCTGCACACCCATTTAAATGTCCTGGGTACCATTCTGAGTTGCACTTTAAATCTAGTGGAAAAGGGTTAAACTGTTGCAGCAAAACTGTTGAAATTTAAATTTGACTTTGCAGCTGCAGATTGACGATTGTCATTGGGATATAAACTATTGGTGGTTTATGTAAAATATATTTTAATATTTATTTAATATTGTTGACTTCTGATTAACTGGGATTTTAAAAAGCTGTTGAAGAAAAGAAAAAAATACTTTTTTTATGCTCAATTGTTTAAAAATGCAGAAAAGAATGGAGGAAAACATGCTGAAGCATAAAAAAGAGGGAAAAGATGGCCAAATGTAGTAATCTCATGAAAAGGTGGAACAAATTGTGTTCCTTCATTTCATCCCTCCAAATATATGTATTAAACTATCTGTATGAAAACCGATATTTTTGAAAAGGTGCTGCACCTTAAAATCCTTTCCCTAGTTATTATGTAAAGGTCTAATTCAAAGAATTTCCTAGTACACATTATTGGTTTTCGGCATCATTGCCCGGCACAAAAATATCATTGGTTCTTTAGAATTCTGTATTGTTTAGATGAACATCTCTGGAGTCGCAAGGTACTTTTCTTCTTGTTAGTGTCATATGTAATTTACCTAACTGCAAAAGAGTATTAACAGTCATAAAGTGTGGATGGGTGGGACACAGTCTTATTATGATTCAATGCAGTTTTAGTGAGAAGTTATAGATCATTGTTGTAAGAGGTACTTTTAAACATGACAGAGGTAATTGGGTCAATAGCAAAAATTTGTAATAACATGTTTATTTCATTTATAAATTCTCATACTACAAACGTCTCGATACTTCTTATTTACTTAGGGGTAGTAGGGTAGTGAGAGAATATTTAGTAGGGTAGTGAGAGAAAAAAAGACTACCCATTTGCTTCAAATTTGCCAATCATGGAGCTTTTTACTTATGGTGGTGAGGTGTTAGGTTAAGATAATTATTTTTGTTTCTTTTCTTTCTTATTTAAAGAATAAGTTGAAAACATCTCATTAATATTGACATTGCAATAATGTATCATGGACTGGCACAATCAGGGGGTAGAATATCAAGAGGCCATTATGGAGTCAAGTACATGATCATTACCAAATTTTTCCAATAACATTTCTGAATCAAAATCCTGTTTTGGAAATAAATAAATAAAAAAATGTAATATATTAAAAATTATTTATTTATAGCCAAGAGATCAATTCAGAAAGAGTATTGCTAATTGCCCTTTGAGCTTTATATAACGGATTTAGTACTGTAATGCAAAAATTTTAAGAAAACTACATTATAATGTTCTTGACAATGGTCACTACTGGTGCTTTTATCAAACATTTTGTTTTTCTATTTTTTTTTATCAAGAAAAGGTACAGTAATGTTGCTTGTGACATATAATTGAATCTGTCACTGGGAAGTTCATTGAGAGTTATGAGTGGAAAGGGAGTGAATTTTCTTCCAAAAACTTCAGATTATCATTTGGTAACAAAGAATAGACAAGAGCAATCTGATGTAGATTAAACTTGTTTTGCAATGTTATGTTCCTAAAATTGAAAGGAAAGTTGTAAAGATTTCTTTAAACTTCAGGGTACATGATATTTTAGTACATTAGTAAACTGATAAAAAATCAAAATGCTTTTTATTTATTTATTTATTTAACATAAAAAAATTAAAAGCTGTGTGCAGTACTTTGGGGAGCTTAGCAAGGTTTCTTGAGCTCTGCCCTAACTCTTTAACTCTCACGTACATGCATCACATATTCGTATCAACTTATCTACTTATCAAGTTGAATTTTAATTATGGATAGAACAATCATTTTTAGCAAGAATTGATAAGAAAATATTCACTCCCATGAGATAAAAATCTATTTGTAAATACGATTCAACTACAGATTTGAGCTTTTATCCGGTATCATGCCCTTTGTGAGGGAATTGATTTACTGACACAAGAACATGTTGAACATCTGTTTAATTTATGATCTTAATTATATCTTTCTTTTTCTAGTATTGCTGAGTTATAAATGAGAAAAATGCTGAAAATAATCGATTTTCAAACCTGGCCTGATGCTATGCGGCAATTAACACTTTCATTTAACCTGATTTAAGTTATTTACTATTTTCCAATTTAAAAAAAATGTAACACAAATTATGTTACAGCATTTTGAGGATAAAGTGGTTATAGAATGAATGCGTTTCAGGGAATATGCTTGAATATTTTTTTATAATGAAATGTTTATGTTTTAAATTTTGACACTATTGTTAATCGCCTATTGTTAATCAAAATTTTCAATCTATTTAATTTTGTATTTGTGAAATAATGAATTTAAATAATAAATTTATATGGTTAATTCAAAACATTACACTTTTTTGTATGGAAAGAAGTTAAGATTTTATGGCGACATACTAAATGTTAATTTAAATTCTCCGCGCGTTTTATGCAAATTCCTAGGGAAGTGGAATATCTCTATTTGAGATGCTTTGCATTTGCGTCTGTCGCGCGGCGGCCGGCAGGTCGTCGAACGACGCAACCAATTCAGTGCGCGTCTCCAGCCCGTTGTGGTTGGACGTGTTTTCGTTTGAGGCGTAGGTCACCATGTGCTCGAGAGAAGATACAACGTGTTGCTACCTTGTCCTCGAAGATGGAACTGTCTTGCAGGGCGAACCATTCGGAGCTCCCGTAGAAACACATGGAGAAGTTGGTAAGTGACGAACAAAAGAAAAAAAAAAGTATAATTCTTTGTAAAAACTAGGAGTACGTGCCCGGCAAGGCCTATGCTTCAGTTGCCGGCGCCCCCTCCTCCCTCTCCTCTACGTCATGTAACTTGTTTAGCAATGCAACCCGGAGGCTGTCAATGTCAAGGACTAGCTTGCGGGATGTTGCATTGATCTATGAATATTCAGGTTGATTGCTCCCGTTGTACATCAATTGTCGCGCCGGATGTTGTGAAAGCTGGCAGCGTCTTTCAAGTTGACGTTTGCTATGCTGTACGGGCAATAAAACTCTAGTTTCTATCTACACTGAAGAGATAGAAATATATAATCACCAAATATCTCATTGCAAACGTTACCGTGCAAGACAATTTACATTAATATAAAGCAATTATTCAATCACTATTGTTTGAGATAAATCTGTAAAATATTGTTATCCTCGAAAGCGGGACGAACAGTAACAAGGTAGACAAGTTAAGGGAAACGCGCAAAGAAAAAAGATGCCGCCCCCTCCCCATCACTCCGCCCCTCTAGTGGTTGGTGACTGCGCCGTCATAATTGCGCTTTTCTTTTTAGTGTTCCAGACTGGCATGGTGGGGTACCCCGAGTCCTTGACGGATCCTTCCTACCACGCTCAGATTTTGGTGCTCACGTATCCTCTGGTGGGCAACTACGGAGTGCCCGGAGACGACACGGACGAATTCGGACTACCCCGGTAAGTGGTGGTGGGGCAGGCGGGGGCGGCGCGCGGGCGGAGGAATGCTGACGGGCCGTCGGAGCGGAGCTATCTGCTGGGGGGGGGGTGCTTGGTCGGCAGGTGCCTAGGAGAGATAGGAGCCACCCACCCGGTGAGGAAGGATCCCGCAGAGCCGAGAGAATGGGCTTAGCGAGGTCCGGCCTGGCCTCGACCCGAGAGAGAAATGCCTGCGGGGGTACGAAAAGGAATTCATAGACGAATACTTTTTTTCTTTGAACTTATTATTTGCCGCAAATTACATGGCAAGGCAGTCGGGAGCCTCCTAATAACACGGTAAAAGAATGGTAATCCTAAATTTATAGATTTATTTGAAAACGAATCGCTCGTTAGAGACTAACCGAAGTAGTCCTGTGGGTTGAATACTATCGACTCTCGGAAGGATGAAATGAAGGCGAACGTCGCGAACAAGATATTGAAAAGTTTTCAAAAATCCTGAAAAGTTGAAAGTGTGGAAATAAAAATGAATGAAATATGGACACATGTTTTAAAATTGAGCGATATCATTCAACAATATATTTAGGTCCTGGAGGCAGGGGAGATGAAAAAAAAGAAATGTTCGAAAAACATTCATTCTGAATGAGACATGCTGTTGCTCGTTCATCTCTGAACGTATAGCATACACTTCAAAGGTTTTGCACTGAAATATTCGAAAGGTGCCTTAGAAGATTTTATCCTCGCATATTCTTTGCATTCCGGTTAGCGACCCTTCAAGATACAATACTTGATACAGGAGGGAGGTAAAAAAGTAGAAAATCCGGTCTATCACATTATTGACTACCTTCTTAAAAACTCTGCAGTAAACCTAATCTTGTCTTGCTCAGAAACTGAACTGACCCAACTCGCATAAGTTTTAAACGACCTTTAGTGAGATTTGTACCCAACTTTACTGATACTTTGCACATAGATAAACTGATGTACTGTTTTTGTCGATAAATGTAACAATTTTGGAAAACATCTATAGTTGAAGATGCTGTTGAAATAAACATATTGAATGTTGTTGAGAATGTGTGTTATTAATTAATTATCCTCGTACTAATTAAAAAATCATTAAAAGAATATGAATGCACTCTAACAGTTCTGACTCGGTCATGGTGATACTAATGCTGAATTACATTATTCGTAATACAGTGTTCAGATTGTTCCGCGCAGATTCTGTAAATAAATGCTGCCTGCTACATGATGCATTTACAAATGAAAAACCTAAGGGCACGAATTATAAAGATGCTCATGTAATCCTCTACTACGTTCTCTTGTCCTAGTCCACGGTTCGCTTTCTACTCTGCGACGGAATTCATGCTATAGTTCCACTCGGCGATTATCACTCAACATGATTTTAGTGAACATGCCAGTTTTGTTTCGAAATACTCAAATTGACATTTCTTTAAATACTATAGAAGTATATCCTAACCTTTTTTTTTTGTTATTTAAGGTCGCATCAACTTCAAGGTCATTAGCGACCACTATTACGTGAAACGGTATGGTAAGTATGAGGATGACACGATATGATGATGATGATGATGATGATGATGATAATAGGGGGTGAAAGGACGAACACAATACAACCATGCCCGAGGCAGGACTCGAACCTGCGATCCTTCGGTGCGGAGGCGGGACTCGAAACCGCTATTACGCTGGCCTAACACTAACATCTTTGTTGGAGTCGAACATTGCCTAAATTAATCTAAGATGTATTTTGCGTTTATTCAGCAGCTCATACGTGTTGACGGTGCCGTCGTCGGAGAAGCAATATTGAGAAATATATTATGTCGGAAAGCGGAAGAAATATATTACGTCGAATTGAGTCCCGTTTCTCAAGAGTTTATTCCACGTTATCAATTTTACGACTTATTAAACGTTGCTTGTTCGATATGCATTCGAGGACGAGTCCCTGTACATGCACACATAGCTGCACCGCCACGGTCTCCGACAGCAAGACCTTACTGAAAGAACAAATTATGGACAACAACTTTTATTTGAAGGATTTGCCTTTGATTTTGTAGTTGTAAGAAGACTCCGAGAAAACTTCAAACTTTCGAAATTTTCAAAACCTCAGAGTTAACCAAGAAAATTGGTCCTATGCCATGTTTATAAGTGTATGTTACTCTATTCTTACAAGAAATTGAAAAAAAAAAATTGAGCCATTTTTGAGAAAATTTTGAAAATGTCCTGGGGCTTTATGTAAAGTACACCCAAAAAGTAGTGAATGTTTTTCAAAATCGCAGAGCTTCGACTCTGGTCAAATGGAGAGACGTTTCTTGAATTTGGAAAAAAAAAAAAATCCTCCGCATGGTTGAGGGGCTATTGTTTTCGTACACCAGAGAGACGGACGTTTTCAAAAAAAAACTTTTTCGATATCAGGGGACGCCAAACGTTTATTTCCGTTGAAATCTCGAAATAGATTTTCCCGCAGCATTGCATACCTTTCCCTATACTACGAATATTACTTCGTATATACGTACGTATACGGGAAAGTAACAAAAAATGACCGTGTAAAACGCTGAAGTCACTTTCATCCAGTTTCGGCACCAAAACAACGCGTGGAATCGAACGTCCTTCTGCGCAGAAAAATGATGGAAAAAAGATTTTAAAAAATGATCGTGTAAAACAAGCTTTTGCAAATGAAGTGTCGAAGCTAATTAGAGATAATTTTCGAATCCTTCAGATGCCATTTTTTACTTTCTCGCATTTCTTAAGAAAAAGTATTGTAATCGTGCGCCGGAAAACGGCGAATTTGGCGCAAAAACTCGTATTGCCGGGCCCTGGTAAAGAAAAAGTTTATACATTCTGTTCCCATATGAAGTAAATTACGTTCTCGAACACGTCGAGTACTTTGAATAGATGTTTTATGGGTTCTTGATATCGAAAAATCGATTGACGGCGATATGGCTCTGTCCGTCCGCGAGTCCGGGGTCAACGAAGCGCCTTCACTTTTTCGATATTAACCTGTCCTCGGAGGGCGTAAATAACTCTTAAATAATTGGAGCAGATAATTGTTGAAATCCTTTTTTTTTTTTAATTACAAAAGTCAAAAATTTTTTGTGCCTTTGTACAACTACAATAATGCATATAGTATTTTTTTCTTCATGAAATCTGTTCAAAAACTGTTCTTCATATAATATGTTCATTGTTCCCAAAATGAGTGTTTTTTGCGTAATTTTGCCTGAAACCAGTTTGTTAAACAATTATTTTCTCAAAAACTACATTTTTCCTTTTTTCTCGTAAGCGGCAACGAACGGTGAATCGGAGCTGGACTCATCTTTGGAGAACTGTTTTTCGAAAATTGCAAACAACAACAATAATAGTGGTGCTACAAAATGGCACCATCGCTTACTAGTTAGCTTTCTAATTTCTTTAGTCTGAGCTATCTTAGTACTTATTTTTGAAATTTTCTCAGAAAGAATCTTATAAAAGAGTATAACCTCCACCTGTAAGGCAATTTTTGTTGAAAAATTTGGAACTGTTCTTAAGAAAATGGCAGGAAACTTTTAATTTTTCGAAAAACTTAATTGAAGGTCATTGAAGCACCTCTCGTAAATACAATAATATATACAAGTCGCTGGAAATGTGTGTATTGACGGCATGAGAGAGATTTAAAAATATTTCTGTAATTTTTGAAAAACAAAACAAAAGAATTTTATGTCACTCAAACGGAGCAATTAGCACTGTCCGTAAGAAAAGTTCGAAGAAAACTTTTCGATCCGTTTAGGAGAAAATGGCTTTTGAGCATTTCTGAAAATGCGGAATTTGGAGCTCGTTTTCGCGGAAAAGTTTCGAGAAATATTATGTTATCATGTGAAGCTGTGTGCTCATAAATGCAGTAATGTGACCAAATCGCCACTAATGTAAATATTAACGACGTGAAAGAATTAAAAAAAACTTGTACCTTTTGAAAAAAAAACTAAAGAGTAGAATGACACTAATGTCGTCGTATTGAGTATTCGTATTTAGCACTCTTCCTACCGGCATGTGAAAGAAAAAATTTGGAGCAGTTTTAGATGTTTACTTGTTTTTCTTGCTTTTTAACAAATGCTCATATTGCTCGCAATATTGCCCGAAAACAGAAATTTTCAGCAAAATGTACGTGACCTTGAGAGAAATGAGAGGGAAATAACTATTGAGAAAATATTCTTTAAGGAAAAATGTTTCATCTTCAATTTTGTAATAGGAATGGGCCGAAAAAATCAAACTTTTGAAATTTTTGAAATTAAGAGTTAACAGTGAAAACCAAATCTGCCATCTTTATAATTGTATTTTACTCAACTGTTTAAAAAAAAGTAAGAAAAAAAATTGGAGTCAGTGTTGAGAAGATTTTGAAAATGCCCCGGAGGTTTCGTGTGAAGTAACCGAATTTTAAAGAATGTTTTTCAAAATTGCAGCGCTTCAAGCCAAGCCAGATCGACAGGAGAATTTCCATTGTTGAAGAAAAAAACACAAAAAAAATACACATACAATGTGGTTTTAGGCGCTAGTGGTGTGGAGGGTCGGACAGACGGCCGGGCGTTTGTCATCTCGTAGAGTACACTTGCACTATCCCTACCAAAAGTTTATAGAAAAAAAATCGAACCGTTTTTGAGAAAATCTTGTTTTTGTTATTGTCTAGAATTGCACAATATAATATTGCGAGAAAACTACTGAAATTTTCTAAAACACGTACATCACCTTAATAAAAGAATTCACTATAGAGAATATTTTATTTGAAGTATCGGCTTTAATTTCTGTAGTTGTAGGAAGACACCCGAAATTTTTTTTAAAAATTGAAAATTTCGCAAATTCATAGTTAACCCTGAAATTGGTCTTATGCTACCTTTATAAGTGTATTTTAATCTACTCTAACAAGAAATTTAAAAAAAAATTGGAACCGTTTTTGAGAAAATTTTGAAAATGGCTACTTTCATACATTTTTTAATTAGATAAAGTTTCGCTTACAGCCTTCCGTCTTAATATAGAAATGGAAGGATAGGAAAGAGGGTTCTCGCACGGATGTAATTCATTTCCAATGAAGTTATGTGCAAAGAAATACGGCGCCGTGTGAATTAATCTACATTTTAATTGGAAAACGAAATGTAGAAAATTAATATTGTGAAAAAGAAAATTAATATTTTGGACGACAGTGGACTGTATCTTCACCGATGCCTAGTTTTCTAGGCCCTAGGTTTCATTGACAAATAGCATTAGAGGGTCTTCTATTATTCACTCTTGTATTTAATGCGCTGCACTCTGCGGACAGACCCCCTACCCTTCTGCGCTATAAGCCAGTGGCTCGTTGCTGTACAAAAGCAACCAGGGCCCTATATTGATGCAAAGGACCGAAGAGTTAATGCAGAAGAGCTTAAGAGCGTGACAAGGTGCAATGTCTGGGAGAGCACCGGGCGCCAGAGAGAGCGCTTATTGGGCGCTCTTAGATTTCAAAATGATTTCTTATACATGGATATATCTTGAATATTGAATGCCGTTAACAGGAAAACTTATACCAGTATTCCTAACATGCTGAAAGAATGTGTTTCTATTACCTGGGTATTGTGCGACCATGCAACCTAAGCACGAACAGTCACTGTTTGTTAGAAAAGTCACTTTATCTGCCAAATTTCGCATTTGCTAAGTTTGTCGATACCAGTTCTGGTTGTCGCTTGCAAAAACTTGTATTTTGCATGTTAAAGATTGTGATAAATTCTTTATCTAACGCTATGCGCGTCGAAAGTAGGCCTGTATGGAGAAGAATTCTTGCGGCCAGCGTCTCCGTTGAGAGCTTATCGGCCTTTATTCGGATGATATAGGCGAATTACGGAGTAGTACCTCAACAAAAGTCAAGTTAACGTTTTTGAGGTTGCGCCAACCCTTCTCCCCTTACACTCTTTGCCAACTAGCACTGCACTACCTATCTCACATTTTAGTCGAGAGTATACAACTTGTCTCGTATCGGGGAGGAGTGACCCTTGCGTGTAGATCGGCAACTGACCTGACAATCCAGCAGAGGAGAATATCGCCATACCGGGATATAGCATGCACTACACTTACGGCAAATGAGCACAGTGGTTGTCACGCCTGCAAATCCTAACCTAAATACTTTCACTTAAATGAAAAATGATTGCTCTTTTCTATAAGTTACATGCAATATACGATATTAAATATTGATATTAAATAAACAAATAAAGAAAAAATGAATGTTTTGTCAGGAGACTTCTTCTGCACGAATGCAAGTCTTGTATGTAAATGAAGAAAGCTTCCCCAACAAGTTTTGAAATGTGCTTATGATGCTTGAAACTGGGGCGCCGAAAGTTTTGTGCATCAAAGTTTTATTTGAAATTTTAGGCGCACCAGTTTCATGCATAATATGCGTGTATAAACACCACAATTTTGAAACTTAATAACTACCCTGAAAAAATCATTAAAAGAATGATCTTTATAGATTTAATCGATTTAATAGACGCTGCAGACTGTAGGGCGCTGCGGACAATAGCTACTAACAAAATATTGTGCTGTTATCAACAACACAAGTCACTTTCACTGACACCATAGACTGCAATGACGCATGGGCTACAGTGTTCTGGGTTTGTGATGGCCGGGCTGGAGCGGGACTAGTGTTAGCAAGCTTGCGAATCCCGTATCGGTGCCTGCTGCATCCAGTTGAATTCAATGTTGCCAGATGGAAATGCGGTTTCCGCGGCATCGAATATATGGCCATTTTTAAGACTAGTGGGAATTTTAAATTACACACGACGAGGTTCGGCTCCAACCTAGTGCGTCGGTTTTCCCGAACCATGGTATCTCTCTCCAGCGTGGACCGCCCCATACGCGTCAAGCTCTAAGCTCCAGATGGTCTCTCGGGGCGAGAATAGACAAGGAAGAGGAACGAAAGATCGCGCTCGGAACGAAGGAACGACGAGGTTCGGCTCCAACCTAGTGCGTCGCTTTCCCTAACCTGGTATCTCTCTCCAGCGTGGCACCGCCCCATACGCGTCAAGCTCTAAGCTCCAGATGGGTCTCTCGGGGCGAGAATAGGACAAGGAAGAGGAACGAAAGATCGCGCGCTCGGAACGAAGGAAACGACGAGGTTCGGCTCCAACCTAGTGCGTCGCTTTTCCCTAACCTGGTATCTCTCTCCAGCGTGGCACCGCCCCAGACGCGTCAAGCTCTAAGCTCCAGATGGGTCTCTCGGGGCGAGAATAGGACAAGGGAAGAGGAACGAAAGATCGCGCTCGGAACGAAGGAACGACGAGGTTCGGCTCCAACCTAGTGCGTCGCTTTTCCCTAACCTGGTATCTCTCTCCAGCGTGGCACCCGCCCAGACGCGTCAAGCTCTAAGCTCCAGATGGGCTCTCGGGGCGAGAATAGGACAAGGAAGAGGAACGAAAGATCGCGCTCGATCGGTTTGAGGAAACGGCTCTGGCGTCTTTGTGACTCTGAAAAAATTAAAATATGTGCCTAGTCGACTTTCTCTGACTAGTAAGGAAATTCTGTCTGGCGGTAACCTACTTAACATTCTTTCTGTGCTCTTATAATGTTAGTTTTAGTTTTAGTTTTGTTTGTCTAACATACGCCAGAGGGCTATCAGCACTTCCAATCATACAGAGTATAAAGACGATAAAGAGAGTTGTTTTTACCTTTCAAATTCCTAATAATATTCCTTTTATTAATAAGGACCAACCAAAGTGAGGTCAAATTTTGTTTTTTGTTCATATATAAACTATTTATAGCCAGAACGTAAAGGAAGGACATAGTTTTGTTAGAGTATCATTCAGGCAAAGGGGTTGATTAAGAACTCTAGACTGATTATTATAGTCCGTAGCGTCTTATAGTCCGTAAAATACGATATGTAATTTTTACTTATTTTCTAAAGAACCGAAAATCATTCAATATTTCAATTGAAAAGTTATAAAAAAAACTGCATCTGTAGGCGTCCGCATCATAAAACCGGATGATGGGTACCTACAGCCTGCAGGAGCTAACCAGCAGCAGACTTTAACATGTGCGCCACGACTCCTTCCCGCGGCGAACAAAAACGCATCAAGTGACGGCCAAAGTAAATAATTGACTTATTAGTATTCAAATATCCGAAAATCAGCGGTAACAGTTTCTGTAACATCAATAGAAATTTATTGTTTAAATCAACTTAACTGTAAGAAAAGAAACTAAATATCTTAATTCATTGGTCTCCCACTATATGTCAGTTTTTAAACGTTTTATTTATTGTAATTATATCATTATTAAGTTACTTTATCCGACGCTAGAAATCGATATTGTTGAGAAGGGAGAACTAAACTAAGGTAAAAGAAGTGACATGGCACCCTCTACTGGAAATGAGCTCTATAGCGTCAGCTGAAGAAAGTACTGGGGTTAGGAAAATAATTAGAAGGCTGCTATGAAGAGAAGTATTGTAAATTAGTTCCCCTTTAGTAGTTTATATCTGAAAGTCTTGGAAGGCATTCGCATTTTGCACTCCTTTTGTTTTATTGAATTCAATCAATTTCTCCATGCACTAGAGTTTTTTAGAACATTCCATTCAAATAACAGAAAAATTAGGCGTGGTGCGGCTTCGGATTTCTTGAAGACTGATATGGAAAGCGCAAAGGTTACGAGTACTAATAAATTACCCAATACTACTTGGAGAGTCAAACTATTTAAGACATTCTCGATAACGGGTTGACCATGTTTGTCGCAGAATATTGTCAGTGGGTACATTTGCTTGTTGTCTGAATGCGATAACAACTGATTTGATGAGTTTGATTCCTGTAAAGAATGTTGATATTACGGTATTATCCTTTTTGGTAAACACATTAATGTATAATGTTTCCTTGTTTAACTGGAAAATCATGTAAGAGATAATTTTTTGTCTGTGGCTATTCTTGAACATCATTGGCTAGTTTTAAAAGGACCCTCAAAGGGTAGAATATTTGGATGGTTTCATTTTCTTGCTTGTGTTCTCTACAGTATTACCATATTCTTTATCACAAGATTGCGAACTGGTTGCATTGCTTAAAATGTTAATAAATCTATTATACTTCGATTTAAACAGAGTGGTACTTCAAGGTTACGAGCTGGACAGAGAGGGGACACTATCATTCAATCGGGAGCTTCGTTACGACGTAAAGTTTGGTGGATGACAATATCCTCCTCATCTACTTCCAGGTCGGGGCCTTGAAGTGCTGCTAAATCGGAGTTAAAGTAGACAATCGAAATGTTTGGAAAACACGCTGCAAAAAACGTGGTAGATCCGATGGATTTTTTTCTGAAAATAGATCCGTAAAAAACTTAAAAGGTTTTTGTGTAATAGTTTTACATTTTTCAACGAAAATTTTCATATAGTATTAGGTTTTACCTTTCTGTAATATAGTCCTACAGTCATAATTGTTATACCAATAGAAAACTACAAATAGAGAAAATTTCATAATAAGGTATTTTGGGCAACGATAGACGGCAATTGGCAAGATGATGGGGCAAGACCGAAAAGCTCGCCCAGAACAAAGAAATTAGTAAACTGGTATTAGAAAGTCTGTGCTATGCTGTTGCACCACTAGTTTAAAATGTATTAGCTTGGTACTGTCAGAGTGCATTCTGTTCTTAAAGTAATTTGACACGGGTGCCACTGGCCCTGATCAAGGACCCTTAAACAACAATAACAATAGTAATAATTTTAAATAATAATAATAATAATAATAATAATAATAATAATAATAATAATAATAATAATTCGTGCCGACGTTCGTTTGGGCAGGGAACCCGTGGATTTTATAGGCGAATGGAAACTTTTCTCAATATGGATTTAGCATTTCCAGACTTACAAAATCATTGACTTACAAAATCAAAATATACGGCAAGTCAAATTTTTTTAAAAGATTTTGCTTCATCAATGGATCGAAATGAAGCACCTATTGGAATATTTTTTAGATGTTTCAAAAGCTTTTGTCGTCATTGCTCGATACAATTTGCTCTCAAAAGTACCACCATATGAAATATTACCCTAGATTGGATTTCCACATATCGATGGCAAAGAGCAGAAAAACTGTACTGGCAAGAAAGAACATTGATTGCTACCATTTGCTCAATTCTTTTTCAATTGAGCATAGAGTCCCGCAGGGTTCGATCTTCGGCCCTACCCTCGGAAGAACAATTTTGTATGTTGGTGACACGAATGCGCTTTGCAAGTAAGAAACAATAAACAGAACGATTTCAGGAATTTTAAATTGGTTTCGTAATAACAAATTAATAGATAACGAAAGCAGCTTGGAATATCGTAAAAAAATATGACTTCGAAAGTGTGTAGAGAATGTTTTAAAGCATAATATCAGAGAAGTTGTGATAGGAGGGGGAACGAATTACTACTTTATTAGCAATACTAAAAATTAAATCTGTGGCTCATTTTCCAATGCATATGCTATAATGCAGCCGCAGAAGGGTCGAGTTTTCAAGCATTGCTAATCTCACTTTGTTGGTACTTTTGTCATTGTACTAATTGTGGTTAAAAGATGGGGAGATATTCTGGATCTCACAAAATGTGCGCAGATTGTACTTCTCTCCTGTACGTCGTATACAGTTTTTACTGTTCTTTGACGAAATAAATCAAATAATTACCCACCCCCTCCCCGCATTTTTAAGTATCATAGACGCCCATGGTCGGCGTTGCAAGGCATTACGAAACAAAATCGCTCATGGATTTGCTTTCTAACCTTGTTCAATTAATTTTAGGGCACTGCAATTTTTTTTAAAAACTACATTGTTGTCTGTTATCGTATGGAAGATTTCCAATCAAATTAGTGATTTTTCTCTAAATGGACTTTTTCGAAACCATCAGTAAGAATTAAAATCTAAAACTGCTTATGCATATTTTATAATTGAAATACATTTGCGGAAGAAATTTAATGAATAAATAGTGCACTAAATTCATAACAGTGTCCAAAATATGTGATTAGAATGAGAGTCATATTGTATATTTTAATTGCTTTCTGTAAAGGTTTTCAGGCTCTTCGAAAGACTGTTTGGGGCCTACAAAAAGCCCGACTCGGCCCTGCTAATGAGGAAAGGGTTGAAGGGCTTGAGGCAGTAATACGATGACACCCATTTCGAACAAAATCGAAATATCGTCGTTGAAGAAACAATACCGCGTTGCTGACTGCCTTGACACCCCTGATATCTCGGCATACTTGACATTACGGGTGCCATTTAATAGAATGGTAAATGAATTTTAACACCTATTGAGAGTTATATTTTCGACACTATTAATGGGAAAGAGTTGGCATCAAAGGTCGAAAAAGAAAACTGTCGGAAAGTCAGTTATGCGGTATTCTTTTTCAACGACGGTGTATGAACGTTTACGAATCAAATAGTATAGAAGATAATAGTGGAAACTCGGGCAAATCAGCATGGACGGCACGAGCGACAGTAGCCCTACTGCCAGGTAGTGGCCTGAGGTGTCCACAAGACAGGCGCATTTGACATTAATAGTACACAACCACTTATTTTGACATTACATTCTATGGCAGAGAATGGAAACGTTTTATTCTATACTCTATATTTTATTAATATTATTTTGTAAACAAATTCATAACTTTAAATATTTCTAAATGGCTCTCATCAATATAATTAAGACTTCTATTAGCATGTAGGCCAAACTCTAGAATGGGAAAGAAAGACATAATAAGGCTTATTTGGAAAAGAAACAATATTATTTTTTATTGAAAAAGTAAGTTCTCTGAATTTAAATATGCTTTATTTTTTAATTTAAAATGTTTTGAATTCACATTTTTTATTAACATATACTAAAATTAAGTATTGAAATGCTTGTGGCGTAGTGTCAAAATAGAATCAATTCATACTTTTTCTTTAATTAAATTGCCACTCAGAAAACAACTAATAAGCTGGCTTTTCACATCTGATAAGTTGTCACACACAAATTCTTTCATTCAGTTATAAAAAATGTTTTTCATGCCATTACAATTTTTTTTGCCTTCTCGTTAGGGAAAATACGATTATAGAAAAATACAATACAATTTACAGAAAGTAAAAAAAAAAAAAAAAAACCGCAATGAAATAACGTACTGTCTACTCAATACTTACAAATGCTTATTTTTAGGAAATCAGTAAACTGATTTCCGATTCTTTTGCAGTTCGTAATTTCTGTATCCGTACGCTACAAACGCAAACGCATTTCCTGCCATTTATACAAAACCCAACATTTCACAAATAATAAAAAGTTCGCCTGACAAACACGAGGAAAACACCAACAACGAACACCCTCTCTCTCATTTGCTTGTAAACAACGATCCTCTCTCGCAGTCGCACACCCAGCCGAATTTAAACCTCGAGCCGCAGGCGCCAAATATTCGACGAGATTCCACTATTATCTTTGGTGCTATTCGTGCGACGGAGGGCAGTGTGGTGCAGCGGCCGGTGGCGTGTGCGGCAGGGGCTTCGAGTCGCGGCGCGTGTGGGCGGCGGGGCTGGTGGTGGCGGAGCTGTGCGACGCGGCGTCGCACTGGTCGCACACGCGCACGCTGGACGCGTGGCTGCGCGCGGAGGGCGTGCCGGGCGTGCGCGGCCTGGACACGCGCCACCTGACGCAGCGGCTGCGCGAGCGCGGCTCCGTGCTGGGGCGGCTGGTGCGCGCCGCCCCCGGCGCCCCCGACGCCCACGCCCTCGCCCGCGCCCTCGCCTTCCCGGACCCCAACGCGCGCAACCTGGTCGCAGAGGTCTCCACCAAGGTACGG